GCCTCAATGAAACAGAAATTATTTTGTAAATAAAAGCTCATCTTCCTTGTACTTTTTGTTTCTTGTATAATGTTTAACTTGCAGTTGCTAAAGTGGATGAATGGGTGGTAGCCAACAGTCGCCTTCTTGGAAATAAAGGAAAAAGACACACTGAATTGATTGGGACATGATAACACAAAGTCAGTAAGGCTAATAGTGATCTAATTTGTGTATAAAGTGGAATATTTCTGGCCACATTTGAGGCAGAGGCAACCAAACGGAACAGCTTGGAATTAGTTGTTGACCTCACAGGAGTTACATGTTTGTTTCAGGGGATTTTCTTGGTTTTCTGTATGTTTTTTAGTTTATAGACTCCCATCTTAGTTTATTCTGCCACAGATGTACTGTACCAGTGGTCAAACTGTAGCAACCTGAGAATGCCCATTTTTGTTTTAAAAGAGCATTGGGGGCCATCTTCCCCACTCTCACCTCACACAATGGGCATTCCTCTTTTAACTCTGTAGTATAGTGCCTATTCTAGAATACAGAAGGAAATACCTAAATGGCAGAATTTCTATTTCTTCATCATATGACAGAAAGACATGAAGAGCAACTGGAAAACACTTTATGTATGCTATTTTGGATACTGCAGTCAGGTACCTTTCAGCTGACCAGAGCTCTCCTTCTCTGAAGCAAGATTTCTGCTATATAAAGGTAAAGGTAAAGGTTCCCTTGCTCGAAAGCCAGTCAAATCCGACTCTAGGGTTGCGGTGCTCATCTCCGTTTCAAAGCCGAAGAGCCAGCGCTGTCTGAAGATGCTTCCGTGGTCATGTGGCCGGCATGACTAAATACCAAGGCGCACAGAATGCTGTTATCTTCCCACTGAAGTGGTACCTGTTTATCTACTTGCAATTTCTTGCTTTCGAACTGATAGGTTGGCAGGAGCTGGAACTAGAGACGGGAGCTCACTCCGTCATGCGGCACCCGGGTCTCGAACTGCTGAACTACCGACCTTCCACAGCCTGCAGTTCAGCGTCTTAACCACTTGAGCCACCGCAACTCCTTTTCTGCTATATACCTTTATATTAATGCCATGCCTTTTCTCTGGGGAGTTCAAAACAGCTTACATGTAAGTCCTAGGTGGTCTCCCATACAGACAATACTGTGGACCAACAAACCTACCTAATCCCATTTTGGTTGCTCATTAACTGAGACCCTGCCATTACACTCCATCCGTCTCCTCTCAGGCATGGAGGCAACGAATGAAGCGTAATGGCAAGGTCTCAATTAATTACTCTCAGCACCCCACAATTAAGGATACATCTGCCCATCCATCTCCAATTTTGACATATTTATTTCCTTCATTATGTTTCCCCCTGGAATTAAACTCAAATAAATGGTAACCATATAAACAAAGCCTATTATTCCTGTTTGGTCCTTGAATGTTAAACATCTTAATTATGCTGTATGCTAACTTACTGCTCACCATCTACCTATATGTATGGACTGGTAATTTCCATTTCATTGTATCTGAAAAAGTGTGCAAGGTTCCCTTGCTCGAAAGCCAGTTGAATCCGACTCTAGGGTTGTGGTGCTCATCTCCGTTTCAAAGCCTAAGAGCCAGCGCTGTCCGAAGACGTTTCCGTGGTCATGTGGCCGGCATGACTAAACACCAAGGTGCACGGAACGCTGTTACCTTACCACTGAAGTGGTACCTATTTATCTACTTGCAATTTCTTGCTTTCGAACTGCTAGGTTGGCAGGAGCTGGAACTAGAGATGGGAGCTCACTCCGTCTTGTGGCACCCGGGTCTCGAACTGCTGAACTACTGACCTTCCACAGCCTGCAGTTCAGCGTCTTAACCACTTGAGCCACCGCAGCTCCACATGAAAGCTTACACCTTGAGAAAACCTTTGTTGGTCTTCAAGGTGCCACTGGACTCAAACTTTGTTCTGCCGCTTCAGATCAACATGGCTACCCACCTGAAACTATTTTCTAGTGGACTGATAATGCTAGAAACAATTTAAAAAGAAAAACAAATGCATACATTGAAAGAACTTCCAGAACTGTACACAGTGATTCAAATGCAAACCAAGCTGAATGCATCAGGAGAAGCTTATTTATTTATCTAATTTATACCCTGCCCTCCCAGCCGATGCCCTCCCAGCTTCAAATGCAAACAACAAAGATATCATGTTAGGGCTAAAATAATTTGTGACAGAGTTAACTTATGATCTTAAACAATATTTGCACATAAGACTGCTTTGCTATACTTAGATTTTTGTTAAGATACTGAAATCAAGGCCACATGCGCAGGCACATTTTTAACCATAGTCATAAATGAAAACCATCTTGAAAAAACGAAATCAGTGATCAAGACAAACAATTAGGCATGCTTTACAAAAGCTTCTGCTTAACCCAGTTCTTACCATCTAAAACTGCATTTTAAGATGAACCTCAACATTTCAACATTTATCTGAATGATCCCCAGATGGTAATCTATCATCAGAGTCTAACGAAAACCACCCAAGAGCTTTCAAATATGTGTGGGATTTCCCCCTCCTTTGAAACACCCCCCCCCCATTCAACTAAGCCATATCATTGGAAACTCTACTCAGTTTCAAAAGCAATTTACAATGGTATTTGAAAGACTCTAAAGCCAGCTTCTTTGGGTGCAGGGAGCTAGATGCATAGTTTTTTAGAGAGAAACCTATAACTATATATTATGGAAAAAATCCTAAGCAGAGTTATGCTTTTCTAAGTCAACTGACATAAATAGGCTGAAAAGGGTATAACCCTACTTAGAACTGCCCTGTCAGTGGATATGTGCTAGAAGTGTATAAAATTTTATGGTAAATGTCAGGTGATTCTTGAAGACAACCAAACTAATTATAAAATTTCATTGTTGCGTCCATCAATTACCCTTAAAACCAGATTAGTAAATAAGCAAAACATGCTTTGTGACACAATCTCTTCTGTTTGCTAGGACATCTCAACAAATGACCTAAGCTTGCCATCACTTTCTTAATTTACACACCATACACGCTCACATTTTCCAGGATGTTTCTTAGAACTATCCAGACCTGTAAAGAAATTAATTGCTTTACAGGCACACGTTACGATTTCTGAAACATCATGGCTGATATAGTAATTTAACTAACTAATTAAAGCCAGAAAAACTCATTCAAATCAAGATAGCTTCACGCGGGTAGCTGTGTTAGTCTCGATTAGTAGAATGGTCAAAGTTTACTTTGTTAGAACTTTGACTTATGAAGGTGTTACCAGACTTGAACATCACTGAAATCAAATTATTATTTCCAGAAAGTCAGTGACTGCTTTTCACAGATGTTGGTGGTAGAAAGTGCTGTCAAGCTTCAGCCGACTTATGGTGACCCTGTAGGGTTTTCAAGGCAAGAGACGAATAGAGGTGGTTTGCCATTGCCTGCCTCTGCACAGCAACCCTGGACTTCCTTGGTGCTCTCCCATCCAAGTACTAACCAGGGCTGATGCTGGTTAGCTTCTGAGATCTGATATCAGGGTAGCCTGGGCCATCTAGGTCAATAGCATCTGGGGAAAGACCAACACCACAGGACTCTAGCATGCAACTACTTTTATAGAGGGTGCCTTTGATGAGGAGATGGAAGAAGGGATTTCCCCCTTCTGGCAAAGTGGACAGCCAGCAAAGCCCATTGCCACAGCCATCAATAGGTGACAACACTGGCCAACATTTCACTTGTTGGGGATATACATGGCCCAAGTCCAGCAAGAGGCACAAAAGGTACAGATTCTTTTCTCTCCCCCACACACCAGACCATCCATTTATGGTCATAAGCCCAAGTCAAGAGGCTTTTCTGTTCTGCAAGCAGGTTTCCCTTGCTAGAGTAGGAAGCATTCTGCATCAGTTCTGGAGGAAAAAAATATAATTGCTTCCAAAAACTGTATGAGTTAAACACATCTGATTTGGGGGAAAAGTTCCAATAGTCCTTGTGTCTCTGAGATACCACTACATTGTATTTTCAACACTTATCAGCTTTCAAGTCCATAAAGGTTGGACAGATACTTTATCTTCCTGTAATCACCACGTCTGTTTTTCATCATTTGCAAGTTCTAAGGTTCACTGTGCTCTTGGCAACGAGGTGGCACTAACATGAAAACCCATGCACATTCATTCCAGTGGGAACAAGAAAGCTAACAAAATTACGCAATTTGCTTTTAGCGCAGAAAATGGATTATTTGTAAATATATCCCTGACTACTAGTGTGAAAAGTCTGCGTGACCATATACCAGAGTTAGACATAATTTACATACACTAAAGGGGCAATCTAATGCAAGCGGCACTTTGGATTTTTTAAAATGAAAATTAAGTATGTGTACCACCCAGCAAATAGGAAGACCGGCAAATTTCCTTTCATGTGCATTTTTAGTGTTGGCTCTCATCTT